CAACTATAAGCTTCCCTTTTTTGAAAGGAGCTCCCTTTGAACCGGTCATTAGGCCGGTTGCATCCGAAGACCCACTTGGACCAGGCTCAGTGGAGAGTAGATGGCACCATCCCCTAAGTGTGGTGGTTGATGTGGATTCCCATCTAAAAGGTCATTGAGGGGTGCCAGTGCCATCGAACCTCTGAAACCACTGTAAGACATCGCCATCGAGGTGATCTCCGAACGTCCAATCTGTTCCTAGAAGAGTCAAGTGTTGCGCGCAAAAAAGGTCCGAACCCAGTCGGAGTCATCCCAACGGAGTGGCCATATGTGTTTTTCCCCAAACTCAAGGCCAATGGCCTCCTTCTGATGGAATGGAGTGGCCAATGCGCCGCTTGGCCGCGGCACAGCTGACCTCCGAGCTGACCTCCGATCTTCTTCCCCCCGCCCTCCCAGCTGACCGATTCATATCCAAGAGACTGTTTGGAATCGGTCCTGGACAGTTACGATGACGTTTCGCGCGTGGAATCCACGGCTCCGAGTCGGCCCGGCTCCGTCGCCGGGATTCGCTCTCTCGGGTCGTGGCAGCAGGGCTCCGGTCGTTTCCGTTGTGATCCCGATGAGCGCCACAGCAGGTTTGGATGAGCCACAGCTGTGTCCAGAACTTGGTCAACTAAGCGAATTCAAGCACTTCCATCGGGTATAGGGAAGTCTATTGGACACCCATTGGATGATCCTGGTATAGAATTCAAGCATCTCTGTGAGTTCCACCTTCAGATTCAAGACAATCTGCTCCCAGAAGTTAAAACATAGCAAAGGCACGGGCACCGTGCCACCGAGTTTCCGCCAGATCTAACCGGGCGTACTTCTCAGCGAACAAAAAGAACATGTGTCACCCAAGATCGACTTCATCCCGAGGAGATGTGCACCTCAGGACTCATCCTTGTCGCAACTTGTCGCCATTTCTCAACAAAAAAAAGACTTCTCCCCCCATACTAGCTTCTTGTTACTACTAGTAAGGCACCTGTTACTACCAGTAAGGCACCTGTTACTACTAGCTTCTCTCCCCCCATATAGTCCAAACGAGTCCATCATAGTCCATCTGCCCCTGTTTTCCGGCCATAGTCCGCTCGACTCGAGAGACGCGACAACTCCCGGGCTCGGTCCTGGGTGTTGAAGTGAATGACCGGATCGATGGTTGGGTTGTGGATGCCACCCGCGACCCAGGGAGTTTGGTATACGGATCCCCTGACACGTCCGCCCAGCGCGGCAGCGGGTGCGGCGCGGGGTCCGGAAGGTCCGAAGGTCCGGCGGGTTCGGGGAAAATGATTGGGGCGGCACCGGTTCATTGGTTGTGAACTTCAAAAAAGAAACACCTGGTATACTTTGACTTGGAACCGCCATTTGGCGACTTGATCTATAAGGCTTTCTACTCAGAATGACAGGTCAGAATTCCTGAACGTGCCGCTTCAAACCTTCTTCCATCCCGTCGCATGGCGTCGTTCGTGGTCCTTCCGATCGACCGCTCGGACGAGACGAGGCGACCAAAAGCCGTAGAACACCCTCGTCCTTCGTTCGGCGTTTCACCAGTGTACGGTACGTCCACTCACGACGTCGCCGGGACAACGACCGGTCCCGTTACCCGGGGGGTTGTCCAAATCGCACCTGAAGGGCTTGGACAAGCTCCAGAAGTGGTAGGTTCCCCTCCTTGGCAGATCCACATGTGTGGAAGGAGGGTGTGATGTGATGTGGACAAAGGATTGTGGACTGAAACAAAAGGTGGTTCCGTGTGAGGGGTTGACCCTTTCAGTGGGTGGGCGCTGGGGTCCTTTTTGGTAGTTGTAGCCACACGTCTCTGGTATCCGGGGAACGTTGGGAAGAACCAGTTCTTGTTGGACACTCAAGGTAACATATTGGGAGATAATAGGAGTTTGGACAGCCATTTCTGGAGAAGGTTGATCTTCTGTGTTTGTCATAATCTCAGTGGGACTTGGGTGGCCTCTCACTTTCTGCCAGCCTCAGAATCCGTGAACGATTTCGTAAACTTCGGCTGCGACTGGCACAGTCAGCAGCTGTTGGGCAGCGCCGCCACCAAACGACTGCGGAATGCCGTTTTGATGGTAAGCCTCGTAAAGCACGCCCAGGCTAGCACCTACCGAACTCGGAGGTCTCACACTGTATTGCATACATCCTCTCTCAACTCATATCCACTGGACGATGCGAACACGAGCACCGGGGGTCGAAAACGAATCCAACATGAGTATAGTGACCACGTGGGGCACAGCGCATGGACCCCTTCATCCATCTGGCACAGTTCGGTGTGTTTCGTTGCTTGTTCACCCGCAAACAGGCCCCCCTTGTGGCCAGCTTCCGCTTCCACGACGTAACGACGATCGCCGATCGCCGGTGGGACCGAAGGTGTCCGCGCTCTGCTCCGCTTCGCTCCAAGGAACATCCAGCCGTTGGGTCCCATCGCCTGGTCAGGGGGTTTTCTGTTGCCTTCTCCTCCGTTTCGCTTCCGCGCGAGGAGACTGGTGACGCTTCCGGTGCCGCAGCGGTTCCCCGCAGATGGCGCGCGGTTCCCGCAGCGCCTTCTCAGAGGCGATCGGGAAGTTGGGGCCGATGGGCTTGATGGGACCCTTCGCCACGCTGCCGCGGAGGGGCAGTGCGGCCTGGCACCTGAAAAGGACCGGGGGTGCCCACTGGACGCTCGGATGGGTGCCATGTCGGATGGGCTCCAAGGAACCACGGTTTGGACGTTTCGATGATGGGACGAAGACGGGATCCAACGGTGATGGTGTTGCTTTCTGGCTTTTCTTGGACCTTACTGGGACGACTCGCGGGGAAGTTTCTGGGACGATGTTTCCACGGTGGTTCACGTAGCTATACGTGAGTGGTCAGAGGTCCATGTCAACGTCCAAATCGTGGCACCGCAATTGACACTCCGACCTCAGATCATCCGATCGGGGGAGAGTGAAGGAAGTATGCCATGCCCTTTCAAAGATGCTACATAGGAATTGCTGTTGACCCCATTATGACAAATCCCCATTAGATCCTAGTTTCAGCCTTCTTTGGATCTATAGTTCCAAGAAAAACTATATCTGACCAAGTTGAGGATTTCTCGCCCAGTTCTGCCCCAACGTGGAGAAGATGGATTTCATGGCAAGTCATCACCCCGGGAGGTCCGTCGTCGCCATCTCGATAGGAAGCAGCTACCATCTGCCCCAAGCGGCCCCAAGTGACCAATGGGGGCCCTTGTTATATGGCGGCCATGCCACTCGAGCGGTAGGTCGTTCGCTCCAAGTCTTGACCCATGCCCCCCCCCCCGTTTCGTTGATCTGTCGACACCAACAACGATACATTCCCCTGTATCGTAAACCCATGGGCCCAGGTGGAGAAACGCATAGGCCGCTCATAGGCCTCAAAGAGTTCCGATGATCCCCCCCCCCTTAGTTTTTCCTCTGGAAGTCGGTGGGTGATCACTTCCAAAGATGATGACTCCTCCAGGCAGTGGTGTTCATCACAAGTCGAATGAACACACCAATCTTCCCTTCCAGGCTTCCAGACCTTGCGGCACGACGCAAGAGACCAGCCATGGCTCAGAAGACCTCGCTGCGTGAGACCACGCGGTCAATAACGGGCGGAAGCACTGACCGCTGCACCCTGACCGCTAGGGAAGTGGAAATAGACAGCACCAGCAGTACAGTTTCAAGAAGCAACCGGTTAAGTAACCATACACAAAATGCAGTATCAGAACCACGAAATGTCTTTGGCTGGACATTTGGAAGGTCTAAACTGAGGTAGGCACGGCACTCAGCACTGAAGAAACCATTCATTTTAAGACTCATCCTTCTTTTCTCCAAGTCCTCTGCAACCTTTTGGCCTTGCATCTCGTATCATCCCGTTTCACCCGCTTCGCTAAGGTCGCGACAAAGAAGACCAAGACTCACGAAACAAGTCAAACGTCCGAGCCGGGGAAGGGCTACGGCGACAGACAAGACAGAAGCTGGATGTTCGATCGTTTTTTGGGATCAGTTCCAGCTGGGAATGCAAGAAACTGCAGAATGACGTGCAAAATTGGCACATGATGAATATATCAAGAATCACGTCCCTCCAACCCAATTTGGGCTGTAGTTCGGAATGCTCTCGTGCTGAGTTGACCTCCTTTCTTCATCCAACCACAAGGGTTTCGGATAGAACTGTAGAATCCAGTCACATGTGGAATCGGCACTCGTTATCGGGTGACCCTCTCCTTTTTCGTTATTCGCTCGAGGTTCCTTCATCCAACTGCTGCATCTCATCGAAATAAGTCTTTCCTCAGAAACGATGCCGTCAAAACGCACACATCCGACCGTCATATCCAAGCAAAAATATACGGTGCAGGATGGATGACAAAGCGGCCACCGCCTGACATAGTAATGGACTTAGTGCTTGTTTACTAATATGGTTTTTGTTGAACAGCAAACGAAAACATGTGCTTCTTTTCCAATTCCCCAAACCACCAACACTTTTTGGCAGAACCCCCCAAGCGCATCTGTCCCCTTTTCAAATCTTTTGGTGGAAATCGTTGAGAAGTCCAGTGATACACCTTTTTCGCCCCAAAAAACCGAACTCTTCACTGTTCTCCTTCCCAAGCCTCTCTCGAGCGTGAAGGTCCGAATGATGTTGTCGAAGCCATCGGAAATCAACCGACCAGGGCCCCACAAACCAATGGTGGAGACGTACATGCGCCAGCCTGGCATTCTCGGGTGGAGACAACGAGAAAAGAACAGGCTCAAAGGATGTGGCTTTCTTGAGGAAGGATTATGGTCGGCTTCTTCTGAGTCGGTTTAGAAACTGGAGGATCATTGGGGAAGATCCGTAGACAGATTTCAGATCTTCCTCCAATTTCATCATAAATTGAGTCATCTCAGTCATCTCAACAATCAGAAGGGTAACATATCGGTCCACACGAGGCTGGGCAGGAACAGGCTCATTGTCAAACATGGTTTCGCACACGACCAGCGACGTCGTGAGATCACCTGGTTTCGTGAGATCCACCCATGAGTCTATTCTTTGTCAACGATCGTTGCAAAGTGGGGGGATTCATCTATACCACAGTCCTTCCACAGTCCCTTTTGCCACCTTTTCAAGGAGATGATCATGTGATCCACCACGTGCACACCAGGTCTCCCTTTTCTTCTCATGTCTGGCTCTCCATCTCCTCCGTCCTCCGCCCTCCGCCCTCCGCGCGTCCTCCCTCCGCCTGTCTTGGACCAGACGGCGCGGCACGGCGCCTCCGAGGACAAGAGGCCCTCCCAGGCCTCGGTGTGGTCGGACCGGTGGAGGTCGGAGGTCGATGGAATCCGCCAAAAGAGTGGGTGATGGGACATGGTCGTCATATGTGTTACGCGACCAAAAAGACCATGTTCCATTGTATTGCTGGGTATGGACATGATGGGACATAGTCACATTGTGTTATACATCGGGTGCCCAATGGAGACTTGTAAGTAGGGTAGTCTATTGGACACCCATTGGATGATCCTGGTACGTGAAATGGAAAAAACGTGATCTTTCCTGATTTTTGAGCCACGAGATGAGCGACCGGCGGTCGGAGAAGTGGACAGATTTCAACGGTCATTCTTGGGAGAAAGGAGGTATTCTGGCGTCGTCAAGTCCAGTCGAACACATGGTGAGTCATAGCCCAACCACCTTGTTTGAAGAATCCGTATTGAAGAGCGGAAAGCTGTTGGGAAAGGCCGATTGAACAAAGGCTTTGCCAAAAAAAGCTGCCTCTGCTTGGAGTCGAGAAGGCATGAGGTTCTAGGACGGCTGGCAGGTCTCATCACCGGGAGAGGTGGCCCAGTTTGGGAGTTTTGTTTCAATTTCTGGGATGAATTGGGGCTGGTTGTCATCTCTCTGAAGGGTCCAACATGGGATCATGTCGCCAGGCAATCAGTGAAGTCAGATCCTTGGGTTGGTGAAATTGCTGTGGCAAGAGCAAATGCAACCAAAAAAACAAATTAGCTTTCAGATGAATTCAGTTGCTCACCCCAGCTCCAGGCTAGCAATCAAGAACCATTGGTGCAAGAAGAAAGGGCTATCCAAACCCATTGGTGAAAAGGGCTATCAGCCTCAGCACGACACCGACACCGGTCTCCCTCGGTCTCCGAAGGGGTGTTCGTTTTAGGTCCCCTGATCCCATCAAGGCGATGGCCAAGTCATGCATTCCAATTCTTTTTGAGCTCCAAACAAACCAGTTCCAAACCAGAAAAAGTTCTGGTTGTTCCAATATGGCGCCTTGAGATCCTTTACACAGCAAGTGGTTGGGACTGGGTTTCCAGGTAGAATTTCCGGCAAAAAAAAACATGGATTTCCAGGCAAGACGCCAGCAGCGTGAGAATCCCAGCCCTGCTCACCAGCAGAATGCGATTGTCACTGATCATGACCTGGTCGAAAGAAGGAGGCGAGCAGTTGAAGGAACTGGAGGGATTAGTGCACCAATGGATTGCTGGGGCTATCACCGCAAGCTCTCCTAATGCACCTCCACCATTACCACCACCGCAGCTGTTGAGCTGCAAAAAACAGGAAAACATAAAGCAAAGGAGTCAAAGAGATGACAACCCCTCACAGCAAATCTCTTTGGGGGAAAAAACACCGAAACATAACGAAACGGCAGCCAGGTGACTAACGAGATGACCTCCTGGCTCACACCCTCACTGGGCTTGAAGAGCTCATGCACGGCTCGACAGCTTCCCGCTTGCAACAAAGCGAATTGTCCATCCACGCTGCCCACCGCGACTTTCAGATTGGCTCCCAGGAAGCTCTTGGGCCAATGTCCTTGATCCATGTCCTGCCGCAACGGAGGACTTGGAAAATAACTCAATGAGGAGACCTCCACATAGGCCGACACGAACTTCAGCTGCGTCAACGTCGCCGTGGAGCTGCCCGTGCTCGTGCGCGTCAAGGCCAGCTCCGCCACGCCCTCCCCTGACCCGGCGAAGATCCGCGCGCGCGCCGTGCCCTCGCAGAGAACCCGCAAGCAGCGGCACGGCCCGCAGAGCAGCGCCGTGGCCTCCGCTTCGCCGCGACTGAGGCGCCACAGGATCACGTGGCAATCCACGCTGCCCGAGAGACCGTAGTCCTTCAAAGGCTCCGTGTGGAACAACGCCACCGCGCGCACCGAATCCGCGTGGCCCTTGAAGCACCCGGCCGGCCTCACGCTGGGACCCGCGTCCCCGTCGGCGTCGCGGCGCCAGAGCCGCACCGAGGCGTCCTGCGCCTGGCGCGCGTAGTAGCCGGGCTCACCGCTGCCGGAGAGCACGTGCTGGTCGTTGAGGGCCACGGCAATGACTTCATCGCCGTGGCGACCATTCAAGAGCTCCTAGAGGGAGTGTGCGTCAGTCTAGGTGTAAGCTACTTCAGCATTGGCTGGAAACAAAGGAGAGATAGAGAGGGATTATAGAGGTTCCCACTCTCCGCCGATGCTTTTTTTCCATGCGAATTGAGTTCGATACCTGGCTATATATATAAGTACCCATAATGTGGTTTCCCCTTGAAACTTTGAAGAACTCTTGGGTAGTGGAATTCCCCCCCTTCCGTTTGAAAAACTCCTCGCTCGCATGGCCCCGGTAGACCGGGTGTCCTTTCGCCCGGTCTCCCAATGCACCACTTGCAGTGCTCCGTTGAAGAGCCCGGCCACCAGCAGCTGTGCATCGGTCACCCAGCAGCGCACGAAGCTGCTAAAGGCCAAGACCTGCCGACGGGCTGCGAGCGTTGCGCGCGCGCGCGATCCCCGCGGTCCCCGCGGTCCCCGCGGTCCGCACGCACGGAGTCCGCGCGGTGCCGGCGGTTGGGGGCGAGTTCTGATCGTCCAAATATGGATGGGAGGTTTGGGATGTCAATCATCTTTCTGGTGACTCAAGAGGTCTCAAGAGTTCTCTTCGACATGAACCGCAAGCTGATCTTTTTTGACAGGTGTGTCACCCGACTGACTTAGCAGGAGATGTCAAACGATTACCTTTCGGTCCCACAGGCAGCCTGTGGGATGTGAAGGTATGTCTGGCCATTGGATCGCAAATGACAGACCTTTGGTGAGGGTGTCGATAGAGTGAAAGACCGTCGGTAAGTCTAGTCACTAGTCTGGTTCCTTTGCCATTTGTCTGATCAGTCAGTCTTGTAAATGTCACAAAGCCAGACAGTGAAACCAAAAACTTATTCGGAAGACATCAACCTCGCTGTTGCACTTGTTTATTGATTAATGAGACGTTTCTTGTTAATAAGTTAGGGCAACTATCCTAAAGAACTCTCTTGAACCAAAGAACCCTTCGAAGCATATCTTCATCCGAACCCTTTCGCCTTCTCCGAGTTCAAGGCCCCGAACTCCCAGCGTTGCAGCGTGTCGCGCTCCTGCACAGCGTGTCGCCATCTTCAGGCAAAATCCGTGTCTCGAATGCTCAGCTCCCATTCGACACGGATTATGTGACTTCCGTGACTTCACTTCGTAGCTTCTCTTCGCTCTCCGTCTGTGAAGTCTAGCATCCGTCCCTTTCTACACTCCAAAAAGTCAAGAGACCTCCAGCTCAAACCGGAAAAGCGCCAACCATGGTCCAAACACCTTCTTGTTCCTAGGAGTCCCCTAGTAGCTTCTTGTTACTACTAGTAAGGCACTTGTTACTAGTCGCGATGC